GTCAAAGTCGTGAGCTTGTACTAAAGCTACAGGATTACTTTGAGCGTGAGTCACAAAATGGCGGCCCTTTGATTCCTGTCACTTAAGTGAAAGATCGGGTTTCACAAGCTCTTGGAATTGGTGCAAAAACTCTATATAATAAAAATAAAGAAAAATTTGGTGCTTCTGGAAGTGAAGATAATGTTTTACGCACTCCTAAGAAAAAACGAAGACAAAAGCCCGTGACAGGTGTTGATGTTTTTGATGCAGATGCAATAAGAAACCACATATATGGTTATTATACTAGGAACGAGTTTCCAACTAGACGTTTGCTTTTGGTCTCTTTAAAAGAAGCAGGCTTGTTTATCGGTGGTAAAACGGCGTTGTCAAAACTATTGCACGAAATTGGGTTTGAATATAAAAAAACGAATAAAAGGAAAATATAAATGGAAAGATTTGATTTAATAATTAAAAGGAGCGAGTTTTTAAGAGAAGCCAGAAAAATCGAGTCTTGGGACAACGTCGTTTTTGTTGACGAAACATGGTTAAATGCGAACCACACTGTGTCACGCTCTTGGACTGACGAAACAAAAGCATCAACCTCAAAGGTTCCAATTGGAAAAGGATCGCGACTGATAATTTGTCACTCCGGTTCTGCTGGAAGTGGTTTCTTTGAAAATGGACTGCTGGCTTTCGCGTCAAAAAGTACTTCCGATTACCACGAGGAGATGGATACAGACACTTTTACGAATTGGTTCGAAAATCAATTATTACCCAGCCTGCCAGAGCCTTCTATCATAATAATGGACAACGCTCCATATCACTCGAAACAAGTGAATAAAGCGCCTACTCAGGCCGACAAGAAAGCTGATCTCGTAGCATGGCTACACCAAAATGGAATTGAAACTACTGCCGAAATGCTAAAGTCTGACTTAGTAAAGTTGGTACGCGAAAATAAAACATCAAGAGCCCGTTATGAATTAGATGAGATAGCTCTAGTACATGGACATCGGGTACTTCGATTTCCGCCTTATCACTGCCAGTACAATGCCATTGAGCTAATATGGGCACAAATCAAAGGTATTGTTTTTTATCGCATAAGTTATGAATATGAATAATTTGTACTATTATAACATGCAATATACAGCATGTAAGTAAAAAGATACATAACTAAGAAATAAATATCTCATGTCCCTTACATGTAGGTAATTATGTAACATTTCGTTTATTTAATGTAATAAATTAACGTTCTTTAATGTTTACATTACAGGTTACGCAGCTCGTAATAATACGACTCCGCCATTCAGTACTAATAAAATGATGGGTCTATTTTGCTTGCAGCAAAATAACGAAAGAAGATTGGGTCAAGGTCGTCGAAAAGACTCGAAAACTAATAACAGAAGATTATGAACGCGATATAAGAGTGGACACCATTATAGAGAATGAAATTGTCATACAAGTGACTGATACGAACTGACAGCTCTGGCGAATCCGGTTCAGAGTCTGAATAATTGTTTTAATAAATGATAGGTAGTCATTTATTAAAACATCTTGTACCTACTCTATTCATTAAAATGTGTAACAGTGTTTACAAATTTGTTTTATTTTGATATGTCCTCGACCAATTATCTACGCCCATCAAGGATACTCCACCTAATAAAGAACCTGTGTCTTTAACTATTATTGTTTTGATTTTATTTAATTACACACTATACTAGAATATTTAAAAACAAACTGTTCCCAAATGATATTAGGGTTACTGGTTCAGTCACTTCACTAGTATTGTCAATTCGTCATGTGTCAAATCGGTAATAACTCAGCGGCCGGACTATAATTACAAAAGGTTGAAGTCAAAATATTCTTAAATAAGTTCAATATATTTATTGTGAGTTAAGTGTTACATTTGCCATTAATTTAAAGTATGATTATACTATATTGATCATAATTAATCAAAATTATAAAGGGAATTAAATTACACAACTAGCTATAATAAAATTCTAAATAACAAATTGTTTATACCAGTAATATACCTGCAGCATGGGTTTACCACATACAATTGCCATATAACTTAGTTATATGATAATATAGATTATTACTTTTAATTACGATTATACTAAACTGTTGTTAACAGTAGCCATACAGCATTAATACATACAATACAGAAGTATAACATTATATATTTATTCTTTAATTTTGGGTTTATGTTTAGGAACATTCAAGAAGTGAGCCGTGGTAGCTCAGTAGTTAACGCTCGCTGTAAATATAACAGAACGCGAGTAACCCGGGTTCGACCCCCCGGCACCAATGAAATTGTTAATTGCAATTTTAAGTGCTGATTTACCACATGCTCTTCGGTGAAGAACATAAAATTCACAAATATTGTTTGTTTTCAGGAATAGAAATCTAATGCTGATGTGGTGAGACAAATGTTGCCAGAAGATAACAAAATGTACACATTGGCATAAAGGTATGATAAATTCAGTTTATTCTTAGATATAATTAGGTAAGATAAGATAACATATCCATTATATCTATATTCAGCATTTCTATCCTCAAATCACGATAAGAGTTCTTTGTTCTTCATCTAATCTAAAGATTACAGTTCCACTACACTTCAATGGTTTTATCAATAACTCCTTTAGTATTAAGGTTACACTTATTTGGAACTCCGTGCCTGAAGACATTGAGAAAGCTCCTGATAATAGATGTATACCATGTTAATATTTATATGTTTTTTATTTCTTATTTACTGCATCTACCACTTTATTTTCACCACACCATGGGTTGACTGATAAAAAATGCCAACTGCCATGAAGCCACCCTTTGTTACCTTAACGTAAATAATATATAGTTTATGATTATCATTGTCATAAAATATGAATATTGGACTTCATTTTTATTTATTTCTTTTCAGGTTATGTGGTGTAGAAAATGAAATTAAAAAGAGAAGATGTTTTTTTTAATTTTTGTAAAGGAATGGCCAGGTGTACCCCAGATGAAAAATAAATAGCATTGCTTCTAATAAAAAATAACTTGAAAAGTAAAATATTAAGCACTTAAATTATTCCTGTGGTTTAATTTGCTTTATTTAATGAATTATAAATATTACTCTGTTTCTCGTCAAATTGTACTTATTTATGTAAAATGTTACGCACAATTTTCGAATTTGTTTATATAACTTAATGTGCCTTTAATTTAATCCTAAGATTGCGTTTGTATGTATGTGATGTTGGTGTGCTTAAATAAAAAAGTTAGATGTATTATAATTGTTTCATTAAGTATTATTATTCCTGTATAATGCACTTATGTCGATATCGATAGAATAAGAACACCACCAAATATCGATATCGATAATTTGAAGGATGTGTGCTTGCAATCCCTAACTATACATAGCTATACTAAATTGTATAGACATTACTCATCTGTCAAATTGGGCGACTGCAGCGCCAAAAGGCGTAGTTGGGAAACTTGACTAAAAGTCACTGTCACAGACTAATAAGAGTAGATATAAACCTCAAGTTATTTTGGTCGCTTAGGCGTCTTGTGAAATTGAGTGGCTGTTGTCATCGAGTATCCGTTCGTTGAGTTGTCGTTAAAACTCTACTCTTAAAAACTTCGCAAGTCCACGCATCAGTATATTGTGAAGAAAAAATCCATAAAAACCAAGATCCTGAAAGAAATAAAGTCATGGCTTAAAAGACAAGCGTCCAAGCCTAAATTTTTTATTTAAAAAAAAAAACGTTTCGTTTTAGAGATACAACAGTGACCACGGGTGATAATCTCCATACAAATATTCCTAGCCTTATGTCTATGGCCCTCAAAAATTGATTTTGACAGCAATTGACTTGGATTGACGTTTCTGCACACCCACCCACGTGACGCGGCAAGCGCCGACGCGACGCGTTTGAATATGATATGCGACGCCATTACAGTTTCGTTTGTTGTTGTGTGTAGTGTTGTTGTGTTGATTGAATTCCGCCAACCCCCTCAATTTGAAGCTGTAATAATACCAAAATTTTCATAATGTTTAATACGTGCTGTATTGAAAATTGTGCTAGTAGACGCAAAGACGTTAAATTACATAAGTTTCCAATATCTGAGATAAGACTCCATAAGTGGTTAAGGTGTATAAATAGTGATAACTTAAATAGGTTAAGTGTACAAGAACTTCATAAATTGCACGTGTGCCATAAACACTTTGAGCTGCGATTCATTAACTCGGTAACATCTCATCTTTACCTGAACGCATACCCCACGTTGTTTACGGAAGATGAGATCACGTCTGGGGTTCCACTAAGAGCATATGAAGATACCCGTCAGTATTTTTTTATTAAAATTTTCATTCATCCAGAGAGTTATTGCAGAGAAACCAGACTGCCCGTTCCTGCTGCGCTCGACACATGCACTGCACTGCTCGGTCTGGTGCAGTGGGCAGAGAATTAATTATAATTAGTTAATGATATTACTAACATAGTTTATAAATTACTTTATCATCCCTTAGTATAGATCATGGTTCGAAATAAATTAGTATTTTATTAATCTTATAGATATACATCCTATGAAAATCCATTGCCGAACATAGGCTTCCCCCACAGATTGTCGCTAAGGGGGATTTTGTCAAAGTTGCCACTTAGTAGTAGTATAATCCTTAATTGGTGCCACATTTGCCAGGCCCGTTAACAACAGCAATAAATATGAATGAATGAATATGAAACAAATATTCGACCCATTTCTAGTCATATACACTATTAATTTAAATACCATTACAATGCAAAATTTTCAAATTCTGGTGACAATAGCTAGTTAAATTCATTATAATATAAGAGACTATAACTTATAATAGTACTTAAATACTTATGAAAAAATCATAAAATTTGTAGGGTCATGCTTGTAATGTCCCAGCATGGGTAAAATTATAGACATCCGGTACTTGCGTACAGGGTAGGAGAGAGAAGGTGGGTGCAGTAGGAGCCCTGCCTACCCTTGTGGAAATGTAAAAAGATTTTTTTTATTTTTTTCAGAATATGTTGATCCTTTCATTGACCACTGTTATATCCAAAAGATAAAACATATGGACCACTCATATTCTCAATCAATGGACAGCAGCTTCCAGAGTAACCTAAACATATTAGAAGGTAAAAGATATTTACATATTATTAGTAATAGTAGTACAATACCATTTCCAAAATGACATAAACCTACAAAATATTTTATTGCAATAAGTAAATGCCTTACATTACCCACTAATGTAATGTGCTACATCAATATGTTATTTTTGTTTATAGGTATTCAGATGCCCATGATCCCATCTACTTCTGAAACCGTTGAAATGATGGAGGTTGATACTCAACAAATTTTGAGAGAAGGTAGAGATTTATTTATTTGAGTGAATATTTGGTGTCTTACAGTCAGTAACATTTTATAGAGACAGATCTAGTGTATATATAAATGATATATTATTCTTACCTTTACACTTGCTGAATAATTTTTAATTTCTGACTAATATAATGCAATTGGTATTTTTACAGGTCCAATAGGCCAACCATTGTTCTCTACCCCAAATAAGACTGGTAGCAGCCGGTTACTGCAGAAAATATCGTATCTTACTCCAAATTGTAGAAGGTTGTACATATATAGAATACAAGAAGTCAAGACGACAGTTAGACTTCAGGAAAAGAACCCAGAGAGCTCTTAAATTTTCTAAAGACCAGTCCTTTTTAAATATTGCTAAAAATATGAATCCATTGGCTCAAAAATTATTTTGGATGCAAATTAAAATGGCAAACAAAAATATAAAAGGGAGACGATTTTCGGATGAAGAGAAATTAATTGCTCTATCCATATTAAAGCAAAGTCCGAAATGTTACAGGTTTTTGCAGAAAATTTTTATATTGCCATCCAAAACCACTTTAAACAAAGTTGTAGCTGGCCTAGATGTTACATCTGGAATTAATCTTAAGATATTTGAGGCTCTCAAGCTAGAGGCAAGTTATTCTTATATAATTTGAAAATAACTATAATTTAGAAGTCTATAATTTTCAATTGTAGTTCTATCAACTTATATGTTACTATCATAAAAACATTTTATTCAAACTAATAATCAAAAAAAAATTTCAGGTTGAAACTTGGCCTGAACTTAAGAAATTTTGCTCGATTCTTTTCGATGAGGTTGCATTGGAGACAGGTCTCACATATGACAAGAATAGAGACAAAATACATGGATTTGTTGAGCTAAAGGATAGGACCAATGAATTTGCAGATCATGCATTGGTTTTTATGTTGCGTGGAGCAGTTAACAAATGGCAACAGCCAATTGCATACTATTTCTGCAAAGGTGCCACTTCTGCTATGGAGTTGAAGAAAATCATACTCCAAATGTCGAAGCTGTAGGAAGCACAGGTCTTCTTCCTGTAGCTCTATGCTGTGACCAGGGAACGGCATTCCAAGCAGCCTTAAAAAGCTTTCAAGAAGAGACAAGAAGAGAGCAAATACTTTCAAAAAATAGAACAGGTACATATAACTTATTGATTTCTTTTTTAATTTAATTTTAATTAATTTGTAATTGTATGTGTCACATCAGCATGAATTTAACGCGAGAAAATTTTCTTACAATGATTTTTATGACTTTAAATGTCATTTACGTCAACAAGAAAGTTATGATAGACTTTAATTGACCTTTCATGATAAAGCCCAATCTTGTGCCACTGTTTTTCAACTGGTTTCTATCTATATTCCCTCTGCCAGATTCCTTCTTATATTTTATTTTTTTCGTAAATTTGTTTCTTTATAAACTAGGAACCTTCTAAAATTACTAAAACTGCCCAGTTTACCTATTTCAGGCTGGTATTTTGTTACCTATATATGGTTAAAATTTCGAAAATCCAGCAAACAAATTAAATAGCAATACAAAATCATTTTATTTTCTCTTCACAAAGGTATATAATTTCACATTATTTCTTAAATAATATGGTTGTAGATAATTTTTACCTTTGTAAGAGACTGGATGATTGATTTTAAATGCTGCGAAGTGGCAACATAAGATAATCCACAAGCCCATATTGTCACCCTGCCTATGTTCAGCGGTGAACTTTTGATGGGCTGTAATGGTAAAAACATACAGATTTAACAAACATAAACATACAGTCAGTTGTCGTCATTCTTGGTTGCCTAAGTCTTCAGGTACGACATAACTATTGCAGTTGTGTTGTACCTGAGAACTGTTAAAACCAATTCTTCGCATTTCTTGCAGCCCAGATATCCTTTCAATGCCTAATTGATTAAACAGAACCTTTTTAGTCAGTTTTTGAAAAACTGAAATTTATTATAATTTTACTATTAATTTTACTGATAATTTACTAATTTTAACTTATAAATTTTATTTTCAGATGAAGCAATTAATATTAGTGGACATAGATTAAATATCATTTTTGACCCTCCTCATCTCATTAAGGGCATAAGAAACAATTTTCTGACAAAAAATATTAAATTTGGTGAGGAAATTTCTAAATGGTCTGACATAGTTGATGTGTACAAAATGGACTGCAATGCTATTGGAGGCACAAAACTGATGCCCAAATTGAATGATGAGCATGTTATTTTGGGGAAAATAAAAAAAATGAAGGTGAGAAGTTGTATAGTTCTTTAGTGCTTCATCTACATGGAAAGTTTCTATATAAATATAACTAAATAAAGTCATAAAAACATATTAAACAAATAATATCAATATGGGAGCTATTTAATAGTTGCTAAATATCATTGGTGGTAATTATATTCATCATCATCATCATTACAGCCTACACTGCTGAACATAGGCCTCCCCTATATATTGCTTAGGGGGTATTTACTATTATTGCCACGCTTGGCTTAGGCAGGTTGGTAACTGCATTTTTTATATTTATTAGTTGTAAACAGTTTCCAACTGTTGCCAGTCCCATATGGGAATTTTATAATTTTCACATTGAGTGGGGTAGTGGATTCTCTTACCCCGTCACTAATTAGCGAATTTTTATTTATATTATTATATTAATTCCAGATAAAGTGGATCTTGTCTGTACTACAGTGCTATACTTTACTCAATGTCATTTGTTGGTGTTGTAAGATGCGACTATTTTTTTTTATAAGATAGGGTGACAAACGAGCACACAGTCCACCTGATGGTAAGTGGTTGCTGTAGCCCATGGACATCTACATCTATCCTTGATTACAATTCCACACCCACCATATGAAACACAGCAGCATTAAGCTACAATTTATGCTGGTATTCTGTGAGAGCGTGGTCCTTCCCCGGTTGAGCCGAGCCATTCATGCTACACTATACTACTAATATAACTGCAGCATGACTACCAAGTATTTTTTTCTCTTATGGATGATAGTAAACTATTTTGTGTATTCCATATATAAATACACAAATCAACACAGAGGGCAAAACCAAAGATACATCTTGGTAAGGAATAGAATGCAAATGCCAATCTGCCAAGTACATCACATCAGTAGGTTGTTTACAAACCGATGTGAAGTAATTAAACTATTAATTGAATATTCAACTACAATTCTCAATTTATCTAAGTTGTATTTTATTTTATGACTTTTATTTTACAACTTACATGTGACAGTTGAAACTACTTTACGAACTTTTCTAACTTATTGTTAATTTCTTAAATAAATTTATTTTGTTTCAGGTTAAAAACTGTGTAAGAGTTCTCAGCTATAAAGTAGCACAAGCATTGAATTTTGCTGCAAATTTTTGTAAGTTTAAAGTGTATGAAATATAAATTATTTTAGTTCGAAATTAGGTATATTCTAATTATTAATAATTTAATTTTTAGCTCGTGATGTTCATGGAAATGAGGTGAGCCAAACATTGAGGAACACTGCATCAACTGTTCTCTTTTTTGATAAGTTGTTTGATTCGGTGAATGGTGCAAGCACAAGCAACAAAATCCAAAAGGGGAAAATTTTAAGAAAAGCTGTTACTGCAACATCAGAACATCACGCATTTTGGCATTACGCTATTAAAAAATTAAAGGAAATGAAATATGTAGACCTTAGTGGCAAAGAGTCATCAGTTCCTTCGATTAAAAGTTGGATCGTAACTATAAAGAGTTTGCAAAGGCTGTGGCATTTCTTTAATAAAAAAAAATGTGAAGATTATGCGCCCACGATATTTCAACACAGATCCCATTGAAAATTTCTTTGGTCAAGTGCGCGCATATAACTTAAGGAATAATGATCCAGATTGCTACACCTTTGCAAACACTTTTAAAACATTATTAATAACTGGATTTATAAAGTTCCACAACCCCACATTTAACTGCGAGGATGATGAAGCAGCCCCTTTGCTAAAATTAAAAAAATTATTTCAAAACCTATTCAGGGGTTACAGTCAAAAAGACTTTAGAGACAAGCAATATTAATTTTAATTGTCGGCCAGAAAATATTCAAATGGATGCTCGTCAAGAAAGACTGAATGTATATTCTCAGGCATATACAGCAGGATGGGTCATTAGAAAAGTTTTAAGAAAAACTAATAACTGCAACCTCTGCAAGGCAAATTTTACGGTTGAAAACGAAGAAAAAATGCATACATGGATTTCAATGAGGGAATATGAGGCAATAAAGAAAAAAAATGACTTATCCTGCTGAACATGCAGTGAGGATTTTAGGCTTAAGTTTTAAGGAGTCAAGTGAATATTTGGAGCTAAATCCGCAAAAGGATAATATTAATAAAAGTATTAAAGAAAAAATTCTATCCAATTATTCATTTGACTTTTTATCTTGCCAAGAGCACTCATCTTTAGAATATTTTCTAGACTTAACAATCAGACTCGCAGTTTACAACTGGTGTAATGGAATCAATAAAATTTTAAATGGGACTGATGTCTTGCGCCTAGAAGGGAAGAATTTGCCGCCAATATCAAAAAAAGCGCTTGTTAAATTTAAACAAAAATATAAAAATAAAAAAGTTAACAAATATTTCTGTATTTTATTTCATTATACCTAAATTAAAATTATTATAAGTTTAAATTTATGTACATGATCACATTGTGAACATGTACATAAATTTAAACTTATAAGAAATTAAAATTTTCAAAATTTTGAGGGGATTCCGTACTGCCACTGGCCTATAGGCAGAATCAAATTGATGCCTTTGCCTTAGATTTATTTAAAAAACCAAATGTCATTTTCAATTTTTGAGGCTCGCTATAGACCAATTTTTTAGTATGGAAGATTGTCGTCTGTACCACAGACTAATAAGAGTACTAACGTACAGACGACAATCTTCCATACTAAAAAATTTAATATAGCGAGCGTCAAAAATTGAAAAAGACATTTGGTTTTTTAAATAAATGTAAGGTAAAGGCATCAATTTGATTCTGCCTATAGGCCAGTGGCAGTACGGAATCCCCTCAAAATTTTGAAAATTTTAATTTCTTATAAGTTTAAATTTATGTACATGTTCACAATGTGATCATGTACATAAATTTAAACTTATAATAATTTTAATATAAGTATAATGAAATAAAATACAGAAATATTTGTTAACTTTTTTATTTTTATATTTTTGTTTAAATTTAACAAGCGCTTTTTTTGATATTGGCGGCAAATTCTTCACTTCTAGGCGCAAGACATCAGTCCCATTTAAAATTTTATTGATTCCATTACACCAGTTGTAAACTGCGAGTCTGATTGTTAAGTCTAGAAAATATTCTAAAGATGGGTGCTCTTGGCAAGATAAGAAGTTGTCGTGAAGCGACAATTAAAAACTAAATAACCTAACCTAACTACAACAAAACAACCAAAAATAAAATAAATTATTTAAAAATTTTGAAAGATTTACAGTTTCTTTTTATAAAAAAAGGTATGAAGGTGATGATGGGCTGTAATGATGATAGTGATTTACAATATTATTAAAAAAAATAACAAAAATAAAGATACTGCAACGAAGTATGCACAGGCTATGCCTATGATAGGTGCGCAGCGCCTGCTCTAGGTACACGCAGAATCTGGAGAAAGCACATGCAGCGTCTGGAGAAGGTACACGCAGCGCTTGGAGTAGGCCCACGCAACGCCCGGAGCAGATACACGCAGCACCCGGAGTAGACACGCAGCGTCTGGAGTAGGTACACGTGGCGCTTGAAGTAGGCAAACACAACGTCCGGAGTAGACACACACAGCGTCCGGAGTAGACACGCAGCGTCTGGAGTAGGAACACGCAGCGCTTGAGACAAGCACGCTCAGTGGCCGAAGATAGCGCGGGCACTAATAGGTGGAGGCGTAGGCGTGGCTAGGCGACGACTTCAGGAGAAGGCTTGCAAGATCCCGAGGCAGTGCGGATAAAGCCTTTAAGAGGTGCTTCTCGTATCAAAGCTGAAGTGAGGCCCTCTATCGGCCGATTCTTCGGCTTTTATACTTTTTGACGGATCTGGGATAAGAACGAGAAATTATTTGAAATTATTTAAATTAAAAGCAAATTTTTGTAAATGGCCAAGAAGAAAAGAGTATTTTTGAAGTAAAAACATCAGGCCGGTAATAATATTTGAATAAAAATTGCCACGACAACCAGATAAACAACGATGTCAAAACATGTCAAATTTTGGTTTTAAGCTCGTAATACAGAAACGGCAAGATTTAAGTGAAAAATGAGATATTATTTATATAGGAAAAAAGGTAGCGCAAGAGCGCGCACGAAACCCGAAATTGTAGAGTTACGGAGAACTAAATAAAAGATCGAAAAAGGTAGACTCCATTGACACCGATTTAAAAAGTGCTGATAACGTGAAAATACGAAGTGAAAATGATTTGTTATTGTGTTCTTATGAATTAAAAATATTACAGGATCCTATGGAAATAAAGGTGATGCAAAATATCCAGTTTTGAGGTGAATGTAGAAAATCAAAAACAGAATGGAAAAATAAAAATAAAATAGTGTAAAATGATATGTAAGTATGTATGTAAGCATAACACTACATTTTCCCCCCGACCCTGGAAAATTTTTGACTCAGCAAAAATTTTGAGATGTACATTCCAAAATAAACCATAAAAACACAGCTTTGCAGTATCAGACATCACCAGGCAAAATCAGATATACAATCTCTTACATTCATCATCTGCATTCAGGTAAGGGTGGAGTTCACATTCAATGACTACCACTCTAAAAGTGTGTTTTCGAAAGGACATTCAGGCTTATTTAAGGAGTTGTCATCCGCTCCTGCGTGGAAAAAAAAATTCGAAAGGACATCCAGGCTTATTTAAGGAGTTGTCATCCGCTCCTGAGTGAAGATAAAGTTAAAGAAATTAATCTTAAGCAAGCTTTAGTCGCTATGACTTAAGTAAAGATTAAGAACGGCCAGAGCGGTAGGGCTCAAAGCCAGAGATGAGCAACATCACTAAAAGTACATTCAGGCTTATTTAAGGAGTTGTAATCCGCTCCTGAGTGAAGATAAAGATAAAGAAATTAATCAGGTAATAATTATACATATATACAAACATATATACAAATATACAAACATATATACAAATATACAAACATATATACAAATGTAGTGTCATGCAAAACAGTATTAGCTGGTTCCTCACATCTAATCTTCACTTCGTAATCGAGTTCGGCCTTATTAAGGAATTCGTACTCAATAACCCTTTTCATTGTTTTAGTTAAGTGCAAATAGAATAAGTAATAAAATAAAATAAAGAATAAGAAATAAAAATTTAATTAAAAATTGTACCTCTTTAAGTTATCTAGAATAAAAATATTAAAGTGATGAATGAAGTGAAGAGTTATATGTAGGTCTAAATATAATCAAGATAAGTTGAAAAACTAGACGAAGTTTTGTTTTAGAATTTGGAAGATAGTACCTCTTTAAGTTCTCTAGAATAAAAATATTAATTTGATGAATGTAAGTGTTATATGTAGGTCTAAATATAATCCAGATAAGTTGAAAAACTAGATGAAGTTTTGTTTTAGAATTTGGAATATAGTACCTCTTTAAGTTATCTAGAATAAAGATATTAAGGTGATGAATGTAAGTGAAGTGTTATATGTAGGTCTAAATATAAGCCAGATAAGTTGAAAAACTAGATGAAGTTTTGTTTTAGAATTTGGAAGATAGTACCTCTTTAAGTTCTCTAGAATAAAAATATTAAGGTGATGAATGTAAGTGTTATATGTAGGTCTAAATATAATCCAGATAAGTTGAAAAACTAGATAAAGTTTTGTTTTAGAATTTGGAAGATAGTACCTCTTTAAGTTATCTAAAATAAAGATATTAAGGTGATGAATGTAAGTGAAGTGTTATATGTAGGTCTAAATATAATCCAGATAAGTTGAAAAACTAGATGAAGTTTTGTTTTAGAATTTGGAAGATATGATAAGGATGAGTAAATAAAGAGTTAAGAACGAAAGAGAAAGCAATTCAATCAAAAGGAAATGGATAAGGCGTAGCTAAGGTGAAGAAAAGAAGAACTTTTACGTCGGGCGCCAAATTGTCGTGAAGCGACAATTAAAAACTAAATAACCTAACCTAACTACAACAAAACAACCAAAAATAAAATAAATTATTTAAAAATTTTGAAAGATTTACAGTTTCTTTTATAAAAAAAGGTATGAAGGTGATGATGGGCTGTAATGATGATAGTGATTTACAATATTATTAAAAAAAATAACAAAAATAAAGATACTGCAACGAAGTATGCACAGGCTATGCCTATGATAGGTGCGCAGCGCCTGCTCTAGGTACACGCAGAATCTGGAGAAAGCACATGCAGCGTCTGGAGAAGGTACACGCAGCGCTTGGAGTAGGCCCACGCAACGCCCGGAGCAGATACACGCAGCACCCGGAGTAGACACGCAGCGTCTGGAGTAGGTACACGTGGCGCTTGAAGTAGGCAAACACAACGTCCGGAGTAGACACACACAGCGTCCGGAGTAGACACGCAGCGTCTGGAGTAGGAACACGCAGCGCTTGAGACAAGCACGCTCAGTGGCCGAAGATAGCGCGGGCACTAATAGGTGGAGGCGTAGGCGTGGCTAGGCGACGACTTCAGGAGAAGGCTTGCAAGATCCCGAGGCAGTGCGGATAAAGCCTTTAAGAGGTGCTTCTCGTATCAAAGCTGAAGTGAGGCCCTCTATCGGCCGATTCTTCGGCTTTTATACTTTTTGACGGATCTGGGATAAGAACGAGAAATTATTTGAAATTATTTAAATTAAAAGCAAATTTTTGTAAATGGCCAAGAAGAAAAGAGTATTTTTGAAGTAAAAACATCAGGCCGGTAATAATATTTGAATAAAAATTGCCACGACAACCAGATAAACAACGATGTCAAAACATGTCAAATTTTGGTTTTAAGCTCGTAATACAGAAACGGCAAGATTTAAGTGAAAAATGAGATATTATTTATATAGGAAAAAAGGTAGCGCAAGAGCGCGCACGAAACCCGAAATTGTAGAGTTACGGAGAACTAAATAAAAGATCGAAAAAGGTAGACTCCATTGACACCGATTTAAAAAGTGCTGATAACGTGAAAATACGAAGTGAAAATGATTTGTTATTGTGTTCTTATGAATTAAAAATATTACAGGATCCTATGGAAATAAAGGTGATGCAAAATATCCAGTTTTGAGGTGAATGTAGAAAATCAAAAACAGAATGGAAAAATAAAAATAAAATAGTGTAAAATGATATGTAAGTATGTATGTAAGCATAACACTACAAAGTCAAATGAATAATTGGATAGAATTTTTTCTTTAATACTTTTATTAATATTATCCTTTTGCGGATTTAGCTCCAAATATTCACTTGACTCCTTAAAACTTAAGCCTAAAATCCTCACTGCATGTTCAGCAGGATAAGTCATTTTTTTTCTTTATTGCCTCATATTCCCTCATTGAAATCCATGTATGCATTTTTTCTTCGTTTTCAACCGTAAAATTTGCCTTGCAGAGGTTGCAGTTATTAGTTTTTCTTAAAACTTTTCTAATGACCCATCCTGCTGTATATGCCTGAGAATATACATTCAGTCTTTCTTGACGAGCATCCATTTGAATATTTTCTGGCCGACAATTAAAATTAATATTGCTTGTCTCTAAAGTCTTTTTGACTGCAACCCCTGATAGGTTTTGAAATATTTTTTTTAATTTTAACAAAGGGGCTGCTTCATCATCCTCGCAGTTAAATGTGGGGTAGTGGAACTTTATAAATCCAGTTATTAATAATGTTTTAAAAGTGTTTGCAAAGGTGTAGCAATCTGGATCATTATTCCTTAAGTTATATGCGCACACTTGACCAAAGAAATTTTCAATGGGATCTGTGTTGAAATATCGTGGGCGCATAATCTTCACATTTTTTTTATTAAAGAAATGCCACAGCCTTTGCAAACTCTTTATAGTTACGATCCAATTTTTAATCGAAGGAACTGATGACTCTTTGCCACTAAGGTCTACATATTTCATTTCCTTTAATTTTTTAATAGCGTAATGCCAAAATGCGTGATGTTCTGATGTTGCAGTAACAGTTTTTCTTAAAATTTTCCCCTTTTGGATTTTGTTGCTTGTGCTTGCACCATTCACCGAATCAAACAACTTATCAAAAAAAGAGAACAGTTGATGCAGTGTTCCTCAATGTTTGGCTCACCTCATTTCCATGAACATCACGAGCTAAAAATTAAATTATTAATAATTAGAATATACCTAATTTCGAACTAAAATAATTTATATTTCATACACTTTAAACTTACAAAAATTTGCAGCAAAATTCAATGCTTGTGCTACTTTATAGCTGAGAACTCTTACACAGTTTTTAACCTGAAACAAAATAAATTTATTTAAGAAATTAACAATAAGTTAGAAAAGTTCGTAAAGTAGTTTCAACTGTCACATGTAAGTTGTAAAATAAAAGTCATAAAATAAAATACAACTTAGATAAATTGAGAATTGTAGTTGAATATTCAATTAATAGTTTAATTGTTTTACTTCACATCAGTTTGTAAACAACCAACTGATGTGACGTACTTGACAGATTGGAATTTGTATTCTATTTCTTACCAAGATGTATCTTTGGTTTTGCCCTCTGTGTTGATTTGTGTATTTATATATGGAATACACAAAATAGTTTACTATCATCCATAAGAGAAAAAAATACTTGGTAGTCATGCTGCAGTTATATTAGTAGTATAGTGTAGCATGAATGGCTCGGCTCAACCGGGGAAGGACCACGCTCTCACAGAATACCAGCATAAATTGTAGCTTAATGCTGCTGTGTTTCATATGGTGGGTGTGGAATTGTAATCAAGGATAGATGTAGATGTCCATGGGCTACAGCAACCACTTACCATCAGGTGGACTGTGTGCTCGTTTGTCACCCTATCTTATAAAAAAAAATAGTCGCATCTTACAACACCAACAAATGACATTGAGTAAAGTATAGCACTGTAGTACAGACAAGATCCACTTTATCTGGAATTAATATAATAATATAAATAAAAATTCGCTAATTAGTGACGGGGTAAGAGAATCCACTACCCCACTCAATGTGAAAATTATAAAATTCCCATATGGGACTGGCAACAGTTGGAAACTGTTTACAACTAATAAATATAAAAAATGCAGTTACCAACCTGCCTAAGCCAAGCGTGGCAATAATAGTAAATACCCCCTAAGCAATATATAGGGGAGGCCTATGTTCAGCAGTGTAGGCTGTAATGATGATGATGATGAATATAATTACCACCAATGATATTTAGCAACTATTAAATAGCTCCCATATTGATATTATTTGTTTAATATGTTTTTATGACTTTATTTAGTTATATTTATATAGAAACTTTCCATGTAGATGAAGCACTAAAGAACTATACAACTTCTCACCTTCATTTTTTTTATTTTCCCCAAAATAACATGCTCATCATTCAATTTGGGCATCAGTTTTGTGCCTCCAATAGCATTGCAGTCCATTTTGTACACATCAACTATGTCAGACCATTTAGAAATTTCCTCACCAAATTTAATATTTTTTGTCAGAAAATTGTTTCTTATGCCCTTAATGAGATGAGGAGGGTCAAAAATGATATTTAATCTATGTCCACTAATATTAATTGCTTCATCTGAAAATAAAATTTATAAGTTAAAATTAGTAAATTATCAGTAAAATTAATAGTAAAATTATAATAAATTTCAGTTTTTCAAAAACTGACTAAAAAGGTTCTGTTTAATCAATTAGGCATTGAAAGGATATCTGGGCTGCAAGAAATGCGAAGAATTGGTTTTAACAGTTCTCAGGTACAACACAACTGCAATAGTTATGTCGTACCTGAAGACTTAGGCAACCAAGAATGACGACAACTGACTGTATGTTTATGTTTGTTAAATCTGTATGTTTTTACCATTACAGCCCATCAAAAGTTTACAGCTGAACATAGGCAGGGTGATAATATGGAGTTGTGGATTAGCTTATGTTGCCACTTCACAGCATTTAAAATCAATCATCCAGTCTCTTACAAAGGTAAAAATTATCTACAACCATATTATTTAAGAAATAATGTGAAATTATATACCTTTGTGAAGAGAAAATAAAATGATTTTGTATTGCTATTTAATTTGTTTGCTGGATTTCCGACATTTTAACCATATCCAGGTAACAAAATACCACCCTGAAATAGGCGAACTGGGCATTATTAGTAATTTTAGAAGGTTCCTAATTTATAAAGAAATAAAGGAAAAAAGAAAATATAAGAAGGAATCTGACAGAGGGAATATAGATAGAAACCAGTTGAAAAACAGTGGCACAAGATTGGGCTTTATCATGAAAGGTCAATTAAAGTCTATCATAACTTTCTTGTTGACGTAAATGACATTTAAAGTCATAAAAATCATTGTAAGAAAATTTTCTCGCGTTAAATTCATGCTGATGTGACACATACAATTACAAATTAATTAAAATTAAATTAAAAAAAGAAATCAATAAGTTATATGTACCTGTTCTATTTTTTGAAAGTATTTGCTCTCTTCTTGTCTCTTCTTGAAAGCTTTTTTAAGGCTGCTTGGAATGCCGTTCCCTGGTCACAGCATAGAGCTACAGGAAGAAGACCTGTGCTTCCTACAGCTTCGACGATTTGGAGTATGATTTTCTTCAACTCCATAGCAGAAGTGGCACCTTTGCAGAAATAGTATGCAATTGGCTGTTGCCATTTGTTAACTGCTCCACGCAACATAAAAACCAATGCATGATCTGCAAATTCATTGGTCCTATCCTTTAGCTCAACAAATCCACGTATTTTGTCTCTATTCTTGTCATATGTGAGACCTGTCTCCAATGCAACCTCATCGAAAAGAATCGAGCAAAATTTCTTAAGTTCAGGCCAAGTTTCAACCTGAAATTTTTTTTGATTATTAGTTTGAATAAAATGTTTTTATGATAGTAACATATAAGTTGATAGAACTACAATTGAAAATTATAGACTTCTAAATTATAGTTATTTTCAAATTATATAAGAATAACTTGCCTCTAGCTTGAGAGCCTCAAATATCTTAAGATTAATTCCAGATGTAACATCTAGGCCAGCTACAACTTTGTTTAAAGTGGTTTTGGATGGCAATATAAAAATTTTCTGCAAAAACCTGTAACATTTCGGACTTTGCTTTAATATGGATAGAGCAATTAATTTCTCTTCATCCGAAAATCGTCTCCCTTTTATATTTTTGTTTGCCATTTTAATTTGCATCCAAAATAATTTTTGAGCCAATGGATTCATATTTTTAGCAATATTTAAAAAGGACTGGTCTTTAGAAAATTTAAGAGCTCTCTGGGTTCTTTTCCTGAAGTCTAACTGTCGTCTTGACTTCTTGTATTCTTTGTACAACCTTCTACAATTTGGAGTAAGATACGATATTTTCTGCAGTAACCGGCTGCTACCAGTCTTCTTTGGGGTAGAGAACAATGGTTGGCCTATTGGACCTGTAAAAATACCAATTGCATTATATTAGTCAGAAATTAAAAATTATTCAGCAAGTGTAAAGGTAAGAATAATATATCATTTATATATACACTAGATCTGTCTCTATAAAATGTTACTGACTGTAAGACACCAAATATTCACTCAAATAAATAAATCTCTACCTTCTCTCAAAATTTGTTGAGTATCAACCTCCATCATTTCAACGGTTTCAGAAGTAGATGGGATCATGGGCATCTGAATACCTATAAACAAAAATAACATATTGATGTAGCACATTACATTAGTGGGTAATGTAAGGCATTTACTTATTGCAATAAAATATTTTGTAGGTTTATGTCATTTTGGAAATGGTATTGTACTACTATTACTAATAATATGTAAATATCTTTTACCTTCTAATATGTTTAGGTTACTCTGGAAGCTGCTGTCCATTGATTGAGAATATGAGTGCTCCATATGTTTTATCTTTTGGATATAACAGTGGTCAATGAAAGGATCAACATATTCTGAAAAAATAAAAAAAATCTTTTTACATTTCCACAAGGGTAGGCAGGGCTCCTACTGCACCCACCTTCTCTCTCCTACCCTGTACGCAAGTACCGGATGTCTATAATTTTACCCATGCTGGGACATTACAAGCATGACCCTACAAATTTTATGATTTTTTCATAAGTATTTAAGTACTATTATAAGTTATAGTCTCTTATATTATAATGAATTTAACTAGCTATTGTCACCAGAATTTGAAAATTTTGCATTGTAATGGTATTTAAATTAATAGTGTATATGACTAGAAATGGGTCGAATATTTGTTTCATATTCATTCATTCATATTTATTGCTGTTGTTAACGGGCCTGGCAAATGTGGCACCAATTAAGGATTATACTACTACTAAGTGGCAACTTTGACAAAATCCCCCTTAGCGACAATCTGTGGGGGAAGCCTATGTTCGGCAATGGATTTTCATAGGATGTATATCTATAAGATTAATAAAATACTAATTTATTTCGAACCATGATCTATACTAAGGGATGATAAAGTAATTTATAAACTATGTTAGTAATATCATTAACTAATTATAATTAATTCTCTGCCCACTGCACCAGACCGAGCAGTGCAGTGCATGTGTCGAGCGCAGCAGGAACGGGCAGTCTGGTTTCTCTGCAATAACTCTCTGGATGAATGAAAATTTTAATAAAAAAATACTGACGGGTATCTTCATATGCTCTTAGTGGAACCCCAGACGTGATCTCATCTTCCGTAAACAACGTGGGGTATGCGTTCAGGTAAAGATGAGATGTTACCGAGTTAATGAATCGCAGCTCAAAGTGTTTATGGCACACGTGCAATTTATGAAGTTCTTGTACACTTAACCTATTTAAGTTATCACTATTTATACACCTTAACCACTTATGGAGTCTTATCTCAGATATTGGAAACTTATGTAATTTAACGTCTTTGCGTCTACTAGCACAATTTTCAATACAGCACGTATTAAACATTATGAAAATTTTGGTATTATTACAGCTTCAAATTGAGGGGGGTTGGCGGAATTCAATCAACACAACAACACTACACACAACAACAAACGAAACTGTAATGGCGTCGCATATCATATTCAAACGCGTCGCGTCGGCGCTTGCCGCGTCACGTGGGTGGGTGTGCAGAAACGTCAATCCAAGTCAATTGCTGTCAAAATCAATTTTTGAGGGCCATAGACATAAGGCTAGGAATATTTGTATGGAGATTATCACCCGTGGTCTGTACGTTAGTACTCTTATTAGTCTGTGATCTACATGGAATCACCTGTTTCGTCGTTTTCTCTAACAATTCACGTGGTCAAATTTCCAAACCCACTACGTTTTAAATATTTTCCGTATTTAGTCTATGGCAATAGAAAATGAACGTCATTTTTATAATAACCCTTCATTACTAAAAATATCATAATCTCTAGTATATAGTTAGTAATCTATGATCATAATGTTGAAACATGAGGTGAATCTGTAGAGACTAATATTGAATAAAAGAAATATATTTAGAAAAACGATTGAAAAGGCTATATTTTTAAACTAAAAAAAACCATTTGAATATAATCTGACACGACTGAATAGACTGTATGTTCGTTGATTGCCTGTTTCGAAAAAGACTTAACTTGGTAACTTCACGTTTCAACTTTGCATGTGCATTTGGCATTTTGGCTGTGTTTGTAATTTCATGTCTTTAATTTCATGGATTTAGTTAAGCTGGCCCTCAGCTTTTCTCTTGAATTACGGGACAATAGGTTGCTGCGCCTACATCGTAGACAGAGAAACCTATAGACAAATTGACGCCTTCTTTCGCATTCGCACACGAAAAAGATAGACTTATGCATACGTTATGCATATGTGTTTAGCAAACTGTAGAGTTTGCTAAACAACTTTGACGGCGTAGCGATTTAAGGAGTTTACAAGTTGGTTTAAGTGAGAAAAAAGTGTTTTGTGAGCTTAAGATTGGTGAATCTTGTTCAGTTCAGTTCTTAGAACAATTAAATTTTTTATCTAAATGTATTTAAAAGTCATAAAGATTATTCTATAACCTAAAAATTCGTTATCGTTCTTTCTCACTCGAGGCCACGCCGATCATTAGTCTATAGGTTTTTCTGTCTACGGACTACATAATGACAATAATGTAATACTTGTGTTATGAGAGGAATAGCACAGATAATTTACAGTCTCCGGCTGCTTTTCTATAATATCTTATAGATGAAATTTGATAATTAATTGCAGAATAAAATTTAATAATTTAAATAGGTTGAGTAATATTTTACTTTATTTAATATTTTCTACAAAACTGCACTCTTTTGTGTCATTTTCAATTTATTTAAACAACTTATGACAAGAACGAGTGATTTTATTTTTATAGGAGAGGAAGCAAACGAGAATACGGCTCACCTGATGGTAAATGATTACCGCCGCCCATGAACAGCTGCAACACAAGGGGGATGCAGATGCGTTGCCGGCCTTTTAAAAAGGAATAGGCTCTTTTCTTGAAGGTCCCTAAGTCGTATCGGTCCGAAAAAATCTCTGGTGGTAGGTGATACCACAAGGAAGTTGTGTGAGGAGGAAAACTTCTTTTAAATCGCTAGTGATGGACCACCAGTCATCCAGATGGTATGGATGGTATCGAGAGATTTGTCGCGATGTGCGATGGTGAAACTGTGCGGCTGGAATCAGTCCGAACAATTCCTTAGAGCACTCCCCGTGGTAGATGCGATAAAATACGCAAAGAGATGCAACATCTCTTCGCAGTGTCAGTGAGTCAAGCCGATCGGATAGAGTTCAGTCGCCGACGATTCGAACTGCTCTGCGCTGGATGTGATCAAATGGAAGAAGCTGGTACTGGGATCCCCGGCCCAGAGATGGGAACAGTATTCCATGTGCGGCCGAACCTGCGCCTTGTAAAGTTGCAGGCGTGAGCCGGCATGAAATACTGTCCCACTCTGCTGAGCACGTCAAGCTTTTTAGAGGCCAATTTGGTCTTCTCTTCCAAGAATCATTATCAAGCATCACCAGTGCTGTCGTCTGTATAGCATTGAATGCTACCGATTTGCAACATGTCATTGATATGCAGAAGAAACAGCGTTGGTGACAGCACGTAGCCTTGTGGGACACCAGTGTTAATGGGCTTGTAATCGGAGCATGCACCGTCTACTACGACATTGATGCTCCAATCAGCAAGAAAACTGGTAATCCAATTGCATAATTTATCGGGAAGCCCATAGGAAGGGATCTTCGTAAGAAGCGCTTTGTGTCAACCCGATCAAAGGCCTTCGCTATGTCCAAACTAACGGCCAACGCCTCCACCTTGTACTCTACTGTCTTCGCTCATTTATCAGTTAGGTAACCTATAGTCAACCAAATCTAAAAAATACCTTTTGACGTTTCATATTTTTTTTATTTGGTTCACAAATGGAATGTAACGTGTACATGGTTCAGGTAACTTGAAAAAAAGTAACAAACAAACTTTCATTCTAATAACAGTGAACACGGCATGCAACAAGTGGACGAGATAACAAATACAACTAAAGAAAGGAAAAAACTCTAAAATAATAAATATTAATTAATTAATGGCTAATCTAATGTTAGCCCTTGCTGAGACCATAGAACCATGAAAGATGTAGAACAAATCACGAATATTATTGTAACTATTAGTCATTCTGTATATTGGCGAGTGATGACCTGCCACTGTTTTACAGTGTGGCGTGACAAAAGTCTTTTTGCGGCCCAGGCGACTGCCAGCTCTAGAGACCGATACATCTAAATGATTTGTCCGGACAGTTGACGAGACCATGGATAATTTTATAGAGGAACAAGACATCAGATGATTCCCGCCGCTTGGATAGTTGTTCAATTTGTAGTGTGCTAATCTACTCTCGTATGAAATGAGTGTCCTGCATTGGTTATTTGCATACGATAACTGGTACATAAACCTTTTCTGAATCTTTTCCAGTCGGTTTGAGTGACACTTGTACCCCGGATTCCAGACTGGGCTAGCGTATTCAACAATAGTTCTCACCAAACAGATATAGACTGGAATGATTAAACCAGGGTCTTTAAAAGATTTTATTTGCCTAGATATAAACCCGGATAATTTAGAAGCTTTTTTTGTTATTGTGTCGATATGACTTCTAAATCTGAGCGTGCTGTCAATTAAAACGCCTAAGTCTAGGATTTCCGTGACCTCACCCAATGGCTCATCGTTTAACTTGTATGTTGCCTCGGTTTTATTTTTCTTTCTAGTTAACTTTAGATGAGAACATTTTCCAGTGTTGAGGATCATATGGTTTTGACGACACCAGTCGTATAATCTATCCAACTCTAACCGTAGAGCGGTCACATCTAGTTTGGAGTCAATGATTTTGTACAGTTTAAGGTCGTCTGCGTACATTTTAAAATTACATTCGATTATATTGGCTAGATCGTTTATGAAAATAAGAAAGAACAATGGACCGATATGAGAGCCCTGGGGAACGCCTGAAGGAATCTCTCTAGCTGAGGATGAATAACCACGCAACGAGACTAACTGTGACCGATTTGTGTACAAAAACAAAACCGACTAAGTTAGATGTTGTAGACTTTTTAGGCTGAAACCCATGTTGGTTTGGATGCAGGCGCTCTTTGACGTGCCAAATATTGTTTTATGAACAAATGACTCTAGAACCTTACCGGGTGCCGGAAGTATGGAAACAGGCCTGTAATTGGACACATCGGCGAGATCTCCTTTTTTATGGATGGGGATGATGCGCGCCTTTTTCCATACGCGGGGGGAAAATGCCGTTTCGGATAGAGTGGTTAAATATATAGGTAAGAGGTTTTGACATACTTTTAGCACACTTCTTTAGAATGATCGGGGGCAAGCCATCCAATCCTGAAGTCTTGCTTCCATCCAATCCCATCAATGCTCTTTCTACCTCGTATTCGCAGACAGTGAGTGAGCTGATGGTCAGACAGTTCTCGTAACTGTGGAGAGCTGTATTATTGACATTGGATGACTTGGTTGTCAAATTGGTGATGATGTCATCGTATCTTAAAGTGCTCTGAGAATAGGTCACAAATCTCTTGGCCACCTCTGGCAGTCTTGGCACTTCGAATCATCTGAGAAGGGAGAGAATTTGTGTTTCTTTTGAGACCATTAACATAAGACCAGATGAACTTAGGGTTGGTGCGTAAATGAGAAGCTGCGTTTTTTTTAAAGCTAGAAAAACAACTTTTAATCTTTGCATTGCAAAGGTCTCTTAGAAGTTCATATGTTAATCTGTCAAGGGGATTACCATACTGCTTGTATTTTTTGTGAAATTTCGCTTTTTCTTTTAAGCATTTTATTAAGGCTGTACTGAACCACACTGGAAATTTTTCTGAATGTGGTATTCGATAATGCGTGTGCTTCTTAATTATGGGTAAAACTATGCCGTATAACTTATCAACTATAGAATCGTCATAAAGCTCAGACCACACTTCGGACCACACTATATGCGTGAGTTCTTCGTTGATAGCGTCAAAGTCGCACTTGTAATAGTTTGGTGATGCTACACGTTTGGACCTGCATGGTTTTATATTCCCCAGGCTGTGAATGAGTATTTCAAGGACAGGATAATGAGAATCCAATCCAACCAAGGGCAGCGAAGCTTCGACCACGTTTACGTTATTAGTATTATTCACAAGCACCAAGTCCAAAATACGATAATTATCGTTTAAGATACAGTTACATTGTTTAAGATTATTGATCGTAATTTCGTCTATGAACATGTTTTCGATGGTCCCGTTATTTGGCTTTGGGATGTATACATTTGGATCGCCTATAGTCTCCCAGACTATATTAGGAAGATTGAAATCACCTACCAATAGGGTAAATGAGCGGTTTGATATTTTATTGCTGACGACATCCGTGAGATTATCGAGAAAAGTTTGGAAGTAATCTTTTGAAATTGGTGGAGGAATATACGCAGCGCAAATATTTATTCTCTCTTTGTTGTTAAGTCCTAAGTCTATAGAGAGCCATAATTCCTCGCACGCCGACTCCCATCTCTTCATTCTCGACGCCCCATATTTTTTCAATACAGCTACACAAATACCACCACCTTCTTTTTTCGCTTGGGAAGACAAAGTGGAACTCCGATCGCGCCTAAAAATATCGTATCTAGCATCCAGGAGTTTGTGGTCAAAAACGGTGTCATTGAGCCATGACTCCGTCAAAACAATTAGGTAGTAAGATTTTTGTAATGCATTAATATATAAATTCTCATATTTCGTTCTAAGGCCCCTTACATTTTGATAATATATTTTTAATTTGTATTTTAATTTAGTTGATAATAAAGAACATGCAATCACAGAACAAACGATAGTCTAGAGAGAGTTCAAACAACTTATGTCTCTTATAACTTTAGATGGCGATCTGACATCTTTCCGCACGAACACGCGTCCGCTGCGCACCCACACAAACTGATAGCCGAGGTCCCTGGCGCGAGCACGAGTCACCGCATGCAAGGCCTTGTTTTCCGGTGCAAATTTTCAGTTAGTCCCAGGTGGCTCGAGTTTAGTTTATCGTTTGGGTTGCATTTATTATACTTGATCGTTGCTGCCAGGACCGAATCTCTGAGTCGTGGGCTCGTGAATCTAACTAGAATGGTACGTAGTCTGGGGCTCTTTGGGTTCATTTTGGCCACTCTGGTGCAGTGGGAAATATCAGTTTCATTGAAGGGACAGCTGACGATTTTACCTAGCTGTTGAACTATGCTGGTTTCGTTTTCGTTCTTGTGCTCAGGAACGCATTGGAGCTCTAAATTGACGGCAGGAGACATCTGGTCCAACTGATTGCAGTGAGTAGTTAGATTAATGACATCCCTTCGCAGTGAATTATTTTCGTCACTGAGACGTTGAACCTCCGCGTTTTGGGCTTTAACCTCGGCTTTTAATTGCTCGAATTGTTCGTTAAAAAATGACATTGAATCTTTAAAACTGACCACCTCACTTCTTATTTCATTTAGTTGACTACAAATTCCGGTGGCCCATTCCCTCAGTGCTTCATTTATGATGGGCGACTCGCCTGCCACTTTGGTAGCTTTGCGTGTCATAACGTTACTGGAAGCGGTCGTGGGTGACGATGTATTTGTGTTGTCGCCTCTAGGCTGTTTACTGTGACAATTGGGGCATTGCCAACTAGCTTTTTGAGTATCCGACATCTTTTTAAGGTTTTTGTCAGAAATGTTAACGCATAGGTTGTGATAACATAGTTTACAACGCGCGCAATCGATACGACCGATGTTATTGTGTATTTTGTTTAAACAACCAACGCAGGTAATCATCTTGGATAATAGGTAATAGGTACGTACAGCTATACTGCGCCGACGATAGAGCAGCGAACGTAGTGCGGCCCGTTGATTTGATAGGGACGAAAAATAGCAACTGTCTCTCACCGTGCCGGGGGTGAAGTGCGGCTCCCCGCTGCGGCTGCCTCTAGATGCGGTGCGGATACGGGAGAGCAATTATTTTTGCTAATGTCGTCTCCTTCACGCGAAGTGACTAATAAGCCAGTGATGATGTTTGTGTTCTCACAGGTGCACAAGGTTATAGACTATATATACTTCGTACTTGCAATTTGGTAGTCCTTTACGGGACACTTTTGTTTGCGACCCTGTTTACAATTTATGACTGTATCTCGCGACACGTCCACTTTGTTAAGCTTTCGAACGGCGAATCATTCTGCAATAACTTAGGAGCGTACTCACACGATTGAAAATTATCTTTTACCAGGCCTCCGTCACTCGCTCAAGGCCACGCGTTATATACCTACCGCTCTGCGTATCGCCCACGATACAACCGACATTGGGCTGCCGCACGCCCGCCTAGCGCTTGCATCACGCACGTTTCCCGCGTTTACTCGTCGAAATGCCAAAACCATGTAATTATTTTGCAGTGGATAATAAAAAATAAAAACAAATGAAAAAATGTCTTTTTTTGCGTTGACTCATGTATTTATTATATAAGAAAACTATACTATACTAATAACATAACTGCACTAGCTTCAATGTTTTGTTGCAGGAGAACCCTAATGTTGACGGAATAACACTGTATACTCATTTCAAAGCTTATAATAATGATTCATCTTTTTAAGGTGGGCTAAAATTCCCACCAGAGCCGTTTAATAATTATATTGAAGAATTAAAAAGAGCATTCTCAAATAATTTTGACAACATCATAATGAAACGGCCTGGTAGCACTGTGTTGCAAATTTTATAAACCATTGATTTTCCTCTGCTTTGCTCCTGTTTTCCTCATGATTATTTATTAAAATTATTTACGCGATTTAAGTAACTTCAACGATAAAATTTAACAACCGAGAATTCAGAGAAGGAAAAAAATGTATAAATCGTTTTACAAAACTCAAAGATATTTGATTGACAAATAAAAAATATTGTTAATATGTATGTATTTCGAAACATTCGTTTTATAACAATAATCATCATAGGTACAACCCTAGCGCATTCGTGCGCTGATGTGCTTGCACGTGAGTTGCATGGCAGGCAACACAATCTCGACTCTTCGTGCGCGTACTTACGGTACATTTTCTTCTCGCTGCGAGCAGCAGATATTATGATTAAGATTTTGTAGGCTGATGTATCCGTTGGTAAACTATTTATTAATCTGTGCTTTTACGTAAACCGAAGAATTATGAAGTTATCTTTATTTCATTACAAAGTGTACAGTTTTTTATCACTAATTTAAAATTGAATCTTTCAAACAAGGCAAAATATTAAAAAATAACCAGTATCAAATTTTTGCGTGACGTCGTTTCAATGATATATCGCTATGTACCTTACCGTAGTGTTTGGTTGAATAAAATTCATTGTTATGCGAATAATCGGCAAAAATATTCAAATAATCGAATCATTAATTTTTTTAATGTATTATTTGTTTAATTAAACTTTTATTTTTAAAATTCCTTAAATTACGTGAGTCATGAATAAAATAAGTTCATTTTTTTTACTTTGTCAACGCAAATTTGTGTAGGCAAAATAACTCTAACTACTAACTACAAGGCCGCGTTAAAAAAACCAATACGTAATTTCAATCTCCCGCCATTTTGGGAGCACACTGTGCGTAATTTTGTGATTTTGTGTTTATCTTCTTATTTTGTGACTCGGCTTTAACTTTTTGAACTGTTTCTTCTATATTTGTTGAAGCATATGCCCATGTCAGAATGGGTTGATTGGGCAAAAGTGGTAGAAAAAAATTATTACGATAATTATACTTTGAAAGAGACATTAAAATTTTGACTGCATTATTGAAAATCAAATAAGAATTAATATAAACAACGACAGTTCAACTAATTGAACTGAAAGTGATTTATTAAATTTATTTTTAATCTAGTTTCAATCTTAAATTTTTATAACCTTACTTCTAGAAATAAGCAGTAACATAAATACGAAGAAACGGATAAATCTTGTGTTTTAAATTATCCGTTTCTAAATTATTCTGATATTATTCAAACCAAACTGTAAATGATAACCAACTCTAAATTATCAATATCGTTTTTTTAAAGAATCGAATATTCTACGCTCCCATTTTTTGGTTGCCATGCTTGGTGCAATAAGTCTGATAGCTGTCAAAATGTATTTCTTAGATTTGGTTGACTATAGAAGATCACCAGCCGAGCGACCGCGACGGAAACCGTACGGGCGGTCACTAATCAGCTGGTGATTGTCAAGGTACCGCATGAGCTTCCTGTTAATAATACATTCGATTATTTTAAAGAACAAGGAGGTGATGGCGATAGGCCTATAGTTGGACAGATAAGAGCGGTTACCTTATTTAGGGATCGGGGGGAGTAGGAGTACCGGAAAAGACGCGTTAAGACTGGTGCCAACTCTGGAGCACACGTATTCAGCACAATAGAAGGGACGCCATCAAGCCCACTCGACTTGTTAATGTCCAGGGAGATGAGTACTCGGTGCCCCGAGCGTTGGTAAACAGAACATCCTGCATAGAGCACTCACACTGCGGGATGGTCGGCGGTATGTTGCCCCGTCATCAAGAGTCGAGTTGGACGCAAAGAGAGCAGTGGCGAATCCTCCATAGAAGCCGAAAAGCTTTGCTTGCCTTATCAAACTGAATCAATCAATAATATCAATTAATAAAATAACTCGTAAACTGTTTCAAACTATTTTAAATTTCCCGCGCACTCCACTGTTCGATACAGGTCGACCGATGACCTCGTATTGCCTTAGCGACACTGCTGCTGTCATAAAAAATGAGTTTTAATAGAGCGATTAGTTGACTCTCTCGCTCGCGTGGGCTTTTTACGGGGCTTTCGAGAAGACGATCGCTCTCTTTCTAACCCAAGGCAAAATATTCTATAATGAAATATAGCTACGTTTACATATATATCAATTAGTAAAGAGATTTAAAGCCAGGCTTTAGGAATGAAGTTGTCAAAAGCGTAGGCGCGCGGGCAATACGTATGCAAGTTCAGTTCAGATTTCAATGTTTATTTACTCTGTGTGTTAACTTAAGTGATGTAATATTGCGAGTTGTAAATTTATGCTTTTTTAAAGATTTTTAGTGAAAATGGAGGATAATAGTGTTCCTTGTGATGAATTGAAGTGTGTTAAAGTGCTAATCGGAGAGGAAAAGGTGAAATCTTTAAACTTTGTTGAGATAATACACAAGGTCGAGAGTGTATTTCAGACTTATCAATTATTTCAATTAAAATTCAGCTATTGGTACAATTAAAACGTTCACCAACATTTTACGTGGACGTAATTAAATCTTTCCTTAAGAAAGAGAGCTTAAGAGTTCCTTAAGAGCTCCTTAAGAGTGAGCCGTGGTAGCTCAGTGGTTAACGCTCGCTGTAAATATAACAGAACGCGAGTAACCCGGGTTCGATCCCCGCCGGCACCAATGAAATTGTTAATTGCAATTTTAAGTGCTGATTTACCACGTGCTCGGCGGTGAAGGAAAACATCGTGAGGAAACCGGCATGTCTGAGGAATAAGAAAAAAAAATATTTCGAAGACATGTGAAGTTCGTCAACACGCATTTGGGCAGCGCGGCGGACACTTCCTTGCCCTAAACCCTCTCAGAAATGAGGGGAGGCCTGAGCCCAGCAGTGGGACGTATATAGGCTGTAACTTTACTTTACTTACTTTTTTTAAGAAAGAGAGACGATTCCATTTAAAATGTAAATAATTGGTTTTTTTTTAATTTTGTACATAGTTTGTTTGTACGTTGTTCATGTTTAACTTTTGTTCATTTAATGTATTGTGTGTAAATATCTTTTTCTTTCGCTCAAACAAACCCAAACGGCTTTCTTAAAAGCCACCGAAGCTATGCAATTGCTGATATGTACTAGTATCCATCTAGCAGTAGTATGCCTTCGGTGTGCTTTGTTAAACGCGTCCTTGACAGTACTGAATATGAAACTGAAGAGACAGACTGAGGAGACAGATCAAGACTGGTGTATTTTTAAAAAACTGCTAAAAACAAGAATCTATATTTTGATCAATTTATATCTTGAGCTTGCCCTAGTTTGGAGCTCTAGCTTCGCCACTGAAAGAGAGAGCCCAGTAGATTGGCTTTGTCCTTTGCGGCACGGGCCATTGAGTCATCCTCCCCGTGCAGAGATTGAAGAGATGGCTGGCAGAAGTTCGCTTGGACAGACTTGGCGAGAGACCAGAATGCACGTGTTCCCGAGGGAAGACGAACAAGTTTCTCGGCTCTGACTTTGCTTTGACAATGACACTTTTGAAGGACCTGGAAGCAGAATTATACTTCTTTTTAAGAACGCTGGTATTTACATCCCGACACGTCGATGCGCGAGCCCAGGCCTGGTAATACTCCTGCTTATGATGTAATGCAATTTTGAAGGAGCGACCAAACCAAGGCTGGGTTCTGTCTCCGATAGGTACCACAGATGGTGGAATAAATACTATACCTACTTACTACATAACCTACAAATCAAAAAACATGAATTAAATTAAAACCCCGGGTCCTGCAAGAATATGATTTATAGACATACTTATCAAATAATACATATTTGAATTTTATTCACGCCGGGCCTAAACTTGTATGGAATCAAGTTCATCTTCTTTTGAATAAGAAGGTTTGCGTAAAACATTTTTCTTAAAATGAGGTAGTATATCGATACGTAGTATTTGACAGATTTCATAGCGGGGAAGTTAAT